CCTAAACCCTTGACTGCTGCAGCTGCAAACAGCCAGCCCAGGTCAGAAAGTTGAGGGGCGTGGGGAATAGCGGTCTCTCAACGTTTGACCAAAGTGAATGGCTCAAATGGAAGCCAGTGACGTGAACTCCAACTCCCTGACGTTGCAAATCACTTCCAGCAACGCCCTCAAGGTGGTTTGGGTCGCCCTCAAGGTGTTGTGCACTCCAGCCCAGGCTGCAGCAACCACTGAGCATGCAGCTGTCAGGGGCCCCTCACTCTTTTCTGGCATGACGTCATGGTGAGTGATGACCCATCATAAGGTGATGTCAGAGCCAGCCACCCATGACTAAGGGGTTACTACAGCTGGCTGGCCCCGAGATAGAGGCTGGCTGGTGCCAGCTGGTGCCACAGCACAACATAAGGTGCCAAGGTACAAGGGTGTAACCGACTTGACTCAGCATGGTGTCACTTCAGCGGTGTCACTAGTGACCCCTGACCACGTGGGTGTGAAGTGGTCACGTCAGCATGACTGCAAGGGGGTGAACCCACGTACCCTACCCTGCCCAACTACATTAAAGTGTGCTGGGGGGCTTTGATTTTGGGTGCATGCACATCATGGGGTGCATGATGTGCACAAGTCTGAATTCTGGGGTTGGTTGCTGGGGGTTTGCACATGCTAGATGTCAGCACCCTGCCCCAACATGGCAGGGGCAGGCTCAAGGTGGTGATGTCAGCTGATGCAGGTGGTGTGGGGCAGAGGGATGCAGCTGGGCAAGCAGTGGTGGGGGGGGCTGTGTTGATTGAGGGTTCAAATCCTAAACCCTAAACCCCTAAACCCCTAAACCCTAAAAACCTAAACCCTGAACCCTAAACCCTAAACCCTGTTGAGCTGGCAGGTGCCAAAGTTGGAACCTGCCAGGCGCTCAGGGTTTAGGGTTTAGGGGACGAGGAGGAATGTCCACAACCGCCAGTGACCGCTGTCAAGTCGTACAAGGGTTGAACCGTAAACCCTAAACCCTAAAAACCCGGGGTTTCCCCGGTTGGACACCAGCCAGCTGCGTCAATACGGGTGGCCGCTCAGCTCCCAACTGTCAACGGTTTGTTGCCTCCCTTGATGGTGCTGCCAGCAAGGCATGAATGGTAGGAGAAGGCTGAGTTCGAGCAGTGGTTGTGGCATCTGTGGAGGTGGGCCACCTCCACCACGCGAAAAGACGAGCGACCTGCCCGCCGCTCCCATGCAGACAGCCCCACCCAACAAAGAGGCCACCCAGCAGACGGCACACCTAACAGCAAGCGGCAAACACACCACCGCCGATAACACGTAAGCGTCACGACCAAACAGGGCCGCAAGGGCCGCAAGGGCAGCCAGCAGCACATAAAGCAACACGAGACACAAACCCGCCACACTGGGGCCGAAGCCAGCGCCGCCCCACACAGCAAAGAAGCGGCGCTGCCGAGCGCGCCGCCAACACGGCATCACTGCCACTACCCGCCCCGCCGCGCAGCTCGCATCATGCAGTCAGACGCCTCCACGGCCTGCGCGCCCGCGCCGCAGACTTGTCCAAGCACGGCGCGCCGCCGCCCGCCACCGCAAACCCGCGCGTCCTACTCCGCCACCGGCACCGCTCTGCGCCCCTGCCCGTGCCCGCGCAGCACCGACGCATTACGAGCGAGGCGCAGATCTGCACAGGATGGCACAGCAGCGTTGGAGGGGGGCAGGGCGGAAACACTGCTGTGCAAGACAGCAGACGAACCGAAAGCCCAGAAAGAGAAAAGCGCAGGGCCTGCTGCCGGGCGGCAGAAGGCCCGCCATGCAGGCAGCAGCCCAGCAGGCAGCAGCTCGGGCAAAGGTGCGGCGCCTGCGGCGCAGGGCCTCGGCGCCGCTGGCCTTGTGCACAACAACAGCGACCCAGCAAGCTGTCACTTGACTGGTATCACTTCGGCTCCCTGGTAATGTGGGTGTGAACTTGAGATGTCAGCACGCTACATCGGAGTAAAACAACCAACCTTGCCCTGCTGCCCAGTAGCTAGTTTTGCCTGTGGTGTTACCCTTGAACATATAAAATCCAGCCCAACCACCCAACATCGTGCGGCCAGCTCGACCCTTTCGGCTGGTTTCTTGGTTGAAGCATGCCAGAAGATAGCGTCGGTGAGGAAGGTCCATGACCGCGTCGGACTCAAAACAATCATGTGCCTGTAATTCAGCAGGTCAGAGCTGCCGTCTCAACACCGAGAAGCCGCCTGGGCTCGGCGAATGTCAGGGGCTGCCAGCCGCCACCGGGACTTGGCAGCGAGCACACATAGAAACTCCCATCACTTGCAAGTAATACACAATGTACAAACCACCTTGGATGGCATTTTGCAGCATCCAAGTGCCACATTGGCAGCCAAACACGGCTGTTGGAATGATGGTGTTGCCTTTCAGCAAGCAACCACGCACCAATCAGGTGTACCACATTGTGCAACATCAAGACATGAATAACATAAGAATTTGCTGGTGTGCCGCTCTGACTCACATCTTGCTCCGCGGGGCAAGCAGGGACCCGACAAACGCGGGCAAAGGCGCCGGACGGCGGTCCAGAGTGGGGCTGGGTACCTCGAGAGTCATGGGTGGCACGCCCACCTTGGAACTGCCATCCTGCGCGCCCTTGCCACCACTTGCGCCCTTGCCAGCATCGTGGTTCCCCCGTTGCCCGGCGCGGCCTCCCAGCTGGCGGCCCAGCACCTCCTCGAGGCGCCACCTCCGGTCCTGATGGGACCCAGACCGTACGCTGTGCTGCCGCTGCGCCCCGCCTGCTGCAATTGTGCCCTGAATGCCACTGCTGCCATCCGAGGCGCCGCCGCTGGTGGCAGCGGCTGTGGCTGCCGCTCCCTGCGCCGCGGCTAGCTCGGGCATGTGCTTGGCGAGGCAGTCGCAGCGCGCGTGGGCCAGTGCAGCTGCGACATCGCGCTGTGCGCTCTCGGGCTTCCAGCCCAGCTCCATGGCACGCTCCTCCCAACTGGCTCCACCGCTTTCCTTAGCCAGGCCCAGGGCTGCGGCCATCCAGTCGTCCACAGCCAGGTCGGAATACGACACGCCTAGCGGCCACATGCCAGTGAGAAACCCCAGGTGGCCACCACGGCGCGTTGCTGCCAGCGCCACAAAAGGGTTGGCCATGACCTCCGCCTTTGGCAGGTAGCTGTGTAGGAACCGGGGAGAGAACACAGCATGGCACCTTGAAAGTTCAGGCCACACAATCAGGGGAGGTTGAGATACAGGCACACAATTGACAATTTTGCCAGCAAGCGGTCTTTCAAGGCCGCCCCGAGGCCTTCAGCACAACCAAGTGCTGCCAGGTGCTGCCACAAATCCCTGCTCACCCCAAGAAGGGATCATCCCGAGATACCAGCATCAGGGTGGGGGTGCGGATGTAGGGGAGGTAGTTTGTGGTGCACGCATGGCGGTAGTCTGCGGCGTCAGGGTGGGCAAGTGACGGGATGGTTGCGCTTGCAGAATGAGGGGTTAAGAACGAAATGCAAGGTTTTGTGGATAGACTGATGATGACTTGGCAGCAAGCCTTACGAACTCTTTGTTCAACACGCTGCCAACCACAGCTGCTTCGCCAGCCTGCGCAAGTGTCGCGCGAGCTCATACACAAACACCCCTTTGTGCTGGATTGCGAGACTCCTCATGAGGCACAGCCAACAAAGTAGACAGCCATATATAAACAGTACACAGGCCACCCCCCACCCCTGCCTTCTCACATGACTGAGCATCAGGGTACCCCAGCTGAGCCAGCGTCACTGCATCGTCAAACGAAGCCACCGTCCAGCCAACCGCCGACAGCGCCCGCGCATCAACATCCACGCCGTGGCGGGTGAAAGACGGCAGGTGCTCGTTCAGGTACTCGCGCAGCCTTCAAGGGCAGGTAGTTTGAGCTCAACATTTATAAACATGCGAAGGCACGCAATCGCCAATCAGATTTAGGCAAACCCGGGGCTGTGGGTGCACATGTGGATGCCTCACCCTGGCCTCTTCCCCTCCCCCTCCCGCTCAGTACACACAGCATCTGTCACCCAACCCTCCCACGCCGACCATGACCATATGCCTCTCACTTATAAGCGACGGCAAAGTTGTAGAAGATGTTGGGGCTGAGCTGCGCCAGTCGTGAATTGGTTGAGTGAAGGCAAACCGGTGCGCTCACCAGCGCCGCTGCCACGAGCCCGCTACCACTCAGGCTGCACCAGGGGTTGATCTCGCCGACCGTGGCCGTGACGCCTCCGGGGATGGCGCCAGCCGCAACCTGCTGCTGCACCTCAGCAGCGCCGTGGGCGCCCACGGCCGCGGCCGCACTGGCAGCGCCCGTGACGACGGGGTTTGGTCCGTGCAGCCCCTGGTCCGCCTCCGCCAGAAACTTTGCCAGCAGCACGCTGCCCAGGGAGAAGCCCACAGCAAAAAGCGGGGCAGTGGGGAAGCGACGAGCGACAGAGGTGAGCGCCACGTGCACGTCATGAGTCTGCAGAGCGTTGTAGCTGCGGGGCCAGGGGCGTGGTGAGCAGGGAATGTGGGTGAGACGGCGAACAGATGAGGGGGGCGGGTGGAGGTCAAGAGCACCGTGCTGTTTTGAGCGAGGTGCTCAGCTGCCGCAAGGGGTGGTCGAAAAATTTGCACTCTGCAGCATGTAATGATAACGCCTGCTGCATCTGTGAAGCGAACGGCGGCGTGAGGTCGCGCTGAGAACCTCAATCGTGCGTTCAGGCATCCCCAATCAACAGACCAGGGGCCTTCGCTCACCCCCTGGGACTTGAGACGTCGAGCCCGTTGCAGCCGCGCAGGTTGAGGACCACAGCGCGCCAGCCCCGGTGCTGTGCCGCTGTGCAGGCCCACTTAACGTAACCTTCGTGGCTGCCCCCGTTGACACCGTCTGGGGGGTTTGGTGGGCCAGCACCATAAGAAATGCGGTAGATGGGACTGGCAAAAACAAGGATGCCTGCATCAGAAATCAGTGCCTGGATTGCACAGAAGGCAGCAGCGCAGCTGCTTTTGTGCTCCGTCCAGGCCAAGTACACCAACCAAGAGGCCTCCTGTCATGCGTGCAATTCAGGCTCACGTATGAAGAGGCAGATGGGGGTGTCTGGGGCAGCGTATCCAGGCTTGTCCGCGCCGCACCACCAGTCCAGCCCCAGGGTGCCGCCATCGTCGGCGAGCACAGGCTGGCGGGTGTAGGTTCCACGTGCGGTTCTGGTGCGCAGAACTGCGGGTTTTCCAATGGTGACCATTAATTGTTGCGATGCAGGGTTGGAGGGTAAGCGCTGAAGTAGGCATGGTTCGAGGCGGCGGGTGGAAAACCTGGCTGCATCCTGCAGTGCCAGGAACGCTCATGCCCCAGTCATATCATAATCACCTGGCTCGTCATGAATGAAGCTAAACAGCAGCAAACCTACCGAAGCGCTGGGCATACTCATTTGAACGTGGTGCACTCACCTCCCAAGGCACTCTGGCGCAGTGCGAACAAGGTGAATTGCGAACGGGTGATGGTGTGAGTCGCTAAAGTGATGCAGGACACCAGGACGTTTGAGCGACCTTCAGGATCGCGCTTGAGCTCGACTCCAAGACCCAAGTGATGTGATGTGCCCAGCCACCCAACAGCTGACAGGTGCATGAGCAACCCCAGGCGTACCCCACCAGCTACCTCGCCCCACCTGTGCATGCCCGTTGAGCGCAAAGGGGGTGGGCGTGAAGGGTTGCTTGAGAACGCTGCAGCGTTCCAGCACCAGCTGAGCGATGCACCCAGGTCCAGGGTGTGTGTAAGTCTTGGGGGCAGAGCTGAGGGGGGCCATGGTGCCCACACACTCACTGCCCGCCCCTGCCTGCACTTGTTGTGGTGCCTTCAGCTGCTCTGGGGCCTTCACTGCCAACCTCGGGGTTGCTGCACAGAATTAGCGCACAGAACCTGAGGCGGCACACAAGGCAAGGGCATAAGGCTCAGGCAAACATGCGACCGCTCAACCATAGCAGTGTGCATCGCACGCAGCTGAGCGCGACCACCAGAGCACGCGGCCGCCCATCCTGATGACCATAGCTCAACCGCTAGCGGCACATCCGGGCACTCGTAGGTGCCGCTTTCTACCTTACGGAGACACCTGAGTCGGCTGTTGGCCACCGAAGGAGCTTGCAACCAGCTGATGTGGCGTGCGTGGGACGCTGGTGACGAGAAGCACGACTTAATTGCAACAAGTCAATGTGTAATAGACACCGCATGCATCGCGCGAGCTAGCTAATAAAAACATCATCAACCAGGGACGATCTTGCGGCACACTAGGCAAACTTCTGCGCCGGAGCAGCTCCTGTTGCCGCCTATGGACGTTTCATGCAAGCGTCTCAAGGGCAAGGTATGCGTGCCAGCGTCGGCAACGACGCGCTAGTTGCGAGCTGCTCACGCTTGAGCCGCTCATCCGGCGCGTCCTGAGCTCATCACATCCGCCGCTAGCGCATCTGTTGCTGTGTCCCATACAGCACGGTATGCCATCACTAAGGAGCTCTTGTTCTGAAACAGGTGGCACTGGTGACAGCTGCAACGGCTGGCATTGGGCTGGGCATCGCACGGCGCCTGGGCCAGGAGGGTGCCAGTGTATTCATCTGCTCCAGGCAGGGGGGCTGGCTAGAGGGCAAGCGAGTTGTGCTTCCTCGACACAATTGGTGGCAGGGAATAGGAACCGTCCTGGGTTTATGGAAGCCAAACGAGCCAGCAAGTCGCTGACCGCAGACTACAGCTATGAAAGCCCCTAAACCGTTGCCCATGTGAGTGTAGCCCTGCCAGCCAACCTCTCGCCTTCAAAGCCACACGTGCACGCAACTTTCATCGCCTGGCCTTGCTGCGCCAAACTTCAGGAAGCAGTCCAACGTGGATGAAACGGTGGCTCAGCTCAGGTCAGAGGGGCTGGAGGTCCGCGGCTGTGCCTGCCATGTAGGCGACGAGGCGCAGCGGCGGCAGCTGGTCACCAACACACTCGAGGTGGGAGCCACTGCAAGCGAAACCGTTGCACTGAAAACAATTCTTGATATTCTGTTGCGCAGCATTGCCCCACGGTGAAAGCTGCGACCTGGCTTTGCGGCCCTGTCGTTGATTTTGGGTGTCAGGAGTGGTTGCACCGTTAGCGAACTGCACCGCCTCCCCCACTCCCTCGTGCGACCCCAGGCCTATGGTCCGTCCATCGACGTGCTGGTGTCTAATGCAGCCGTCAACCCCACCGCCGGGCCCCTGCTGTCCACCCCCTTGGAAGCCATGGACAAGATCCTGGACATCAACGTCAAGGCAGCACTCGCACTCCTGCAGGTCAGGACGCGGCGGGGAGCGCGGCCGTTGAACCAGCGGGTTTCTAAGCCTGTTTTGTCATGTGGCCTCTCACAATTGCTATTGACACATGTTCTCTGTCAATATGGTACACATGTTCTCTGTCAATATGGTGTTTGCTTGTGCGGCCAGGCACGTACTTTGGTCCGTGTGGGTGTGGTCTCTACCGTGGTCTTGTCCTGCTGCTCAGTTGGTCCTGCTGCTCAGTCATTCCCCTGTGCTGCGTACGCCGGTCCCCACCCGCCCGCCCTGCTCCAGGCCGTCGCCCCCCACATGCCTTCGGGGGGCAGCGTTGTGATGGTGTCAAGTGTCACAGCATACAAGTGAGCGCAGGCAGGGCATGACAGGCCGGACGGGTGCACGGCACCAAGCCACACTTGTTCAGAGATCTGGCCTCACCAGCTGCATATGCTGCACCCATTTGCTGCGCGTGCAGTTCCCCAAAAGCCTGCCACTTAGGTGTTCATGTGCCAGATGCTGGTTGTTGCACACATAAACACCGTTATACGTATACACCATCACATCTTTGTGCGGCCGTCCTCCTCAACTGCACCACCGTTTCACTCTTCCCCTGCCCGTTTTGCTCCGAAGCCCTCCATTTCCCATTGGCTTTTACGCTGTGTCCAAGACAGCACTGCTAGGGCTGGTAAAGGGGCTGGCAGCAGAAATGGGGGCGGCTGGTGTGCGTGTGAACGGAGTGGTGAGCAGAGCGGGTGGCGGGCTGGCGGCGCAATTGCTCAACCACGCAGACGGGGGCTATTATTGTGTCTGGAGATGAGGTTGTGATCTGGCCTCACCAGCTGCATATGCTGCACCCATTTGCTACGCGTGATCTTCTTGATGCGGTGAACGATGCTTGCGAGCACGAGCAACAGCCATCTTCTCATATGGGACATCCCATTCCTGCCTTCACCCACCTTCACCAGGCCCCCGGCATCGTGCCCACCAAGTTCTCACAGGCTCTTGTGGCTGACCCCGCATTAGAGCAGGCCCAGGTGCAGGGGTTGGGGGCAAGCAAGGTGGCCAGAGCAAAGGCCTGCTCACACGTCGCGGGTTTTTTGTGCGTAACCATCAGCTATCTGTCCCATCTTTGCCTTGGTCACGGTCTGTGCCAGACTGATTGTCATAGCCTGCGCAACCCCCTCTAGTCAGGCGCATAACTCCCAACCGCCATCATGCCAAGCTGTCCAGCTATGCTCGTGCCACCCGCCCTTGCCTGCTCTTTTCACAGATCGAAGCCACATCCCTCAAGCGCCTTGGCACTCCTGAGGACATTGCTGGGGCAGTAGCTTTTCTTGCAAGCAGTGATGGTGGGCGTTGAGGGGAGATGTTGTATGAGTGCCCGGCCTTGCGTTGCGAGCAGCACACTGCAGCACACTCTGTGGCGTTGTGGCCATTACGTGCAACTGGCACGAAACCCCTCTCACACACGTATACACACACACGCACGCACGCACACACACGCACGCACGCACACACACATACACACACACACACCACACACACTCTACACCCTGCAGGCGCATATGTGACGGGCGAGACTCTTGTTGTGGCGGGCGGCATGCCCAGCAAGCTCTGAGGTGGTAGTGGTGCTGGCCTGTTGGGATCCATGGTTCCGTCTGTTGCAAGTAGACGACATGTGTAGGTGGGCATGGTTTTGGGCTTTTTTGCATCACAAAGCACCCAATTTGAGTTGCTAGCTTCAACGTAGTGTACTTGAAACGTTGGCTGATCATAACCCCATTTTATGACAAGCTGGCCACCATGTGCGGCACTGACGTCAATGTAAACGTCGTGTACTGCTTGCGCCTTCTTGCTGCTGCCGCACTCCTTTCTTTGACAAGTTGTGGGTGAGAGCGAATTGTATGCCTCAGCAGGGTTGAACCCTCGACAACGTCACCTTGACAAGCATTCTGCACCTCCTTCAAAACTGCAGCAGCAAAAAACACGACCGGCCCAAGGCAGACCTGCGCCTCATGGTTTGATGCACATGCTGTGAACTGCTGCCTTGCATTGTTGAGCCCCAGCCTGTCAGCAAGGTGCTACAGCACAGCAAGCGCATTGTTGCCAGAAAAGGGCAGTCCCTCTAGACAAGCGTAAACAGCGCTTGATGCCATCCCCTAACTGGTGTTGTAGTCATCAGCCGAGCAAAGGAATGGGCGCGATTACACGCAAACAGCCATGAGTCAGAAGGGGAGATTGCTGCACAGGATTCAACGTGCCTTGCCCCACGGCGCACGGCGTGCCACATGTTCAGGAAGTGCCAGCGGCCCGCCCGCTGGCTGCCAGCCGCTCCCGCTCCTCGGCCTGCATCTTCTCGTGAAGCCGCTGCAGCATCGACTTGCGTGCCAGGCGTGGTGCCGCTGCGGGCACGGCCGCGGCCGTTGGCCCTGGTCTTCCTTTGGTACCACAGGAGGGGACCGCTGCTGCTACAGCTGCAGCAGCTGAGCCTGTTTCATCTGAATACAGAGCTGCCTGGCTGCCACCCTGGCAACTCCTGGGGTTTGCAGAGCCACCACCTGCACAGTCGGGAAATTGCTGATGCGAATGGTGTAACTCCTGACCAGTGTCCGGCTGGCTGCTGCCAATGCCTGCGCCACTGCTGGGAATAAACCTGCGCATGGGTGCCAGCTGCACGATGACAGACTCGGCTGCCGCCCGTCCGCCGTCTCCATCATGCTCTTGCAGCTCCTGTGGCGCGGCGCCTGTAACACATCCTGCCACTTCCTGGGCTGGCACGCCGTTGGTCACTGCAATGGGCTCGCTTGCTGCGGTGCCCTGCTTTGCTGCAGCACAAGCGACGTCAGCATCTGCCTTATTGAAGGCGGCCAGGGCGATACGGCAGCTGTGCAGCAACTGTGCGTCACTGAGATCTGACAGGCGATGCTCGCTGCGACCCCGCTCGGGTAGCCCCACGAGCGCCTCTTTGCTGCTGCTGCGGCCGTTGAGTCCATCAGTGCCATGAGCCACCGTTCGCAGGTGCATGTGTACCCCCATCTTGCGCTTGACGACAGGCGGCGCGGGCGCTGCCCTGTCGGCCGCGATGGCAGCCATGCTGACTGGTGACAGCTGCGTTGCCCTCTGCCCCCCTCCCCGTTCGGCCGCCGTCAGTGCCGCCGCCACTGCCCCGTTGTCGTCCTCCGTATCACACAGATCTACAAACCAGTTGTCACCCCCAGTCACCTCGGCAAACGGCGCTGCTGACGTCACTGCCGAGCCAGGCAGTCCCTCCTCGCTCCAACCCTGCCTAGAAGCAGCCACGAGCCCGTTCATGTATCCCCAGCTCTGCGCATCGGGTGCCGCCGTCCTATCCGCCTGCTTCGCCCGCCTGGCGGCAGCTGGCTTCTTGGCCGCCACGTGGCCAGCAGCGGCGGTCTTCGTGGCGACCGCAGCCTCGCCATCCCCTGCATAGCTGTCTTCAGTCTTGAGTCTGGGCTTCTCGGTCGCTGCCGCTGCGTGGCCAACAATGCGCGCTTTCTTGGCATGTGTCCCTGAATCCTCGGGTTCCTTGATCGCCGCGGCTACCGCCGCTGGCAGGCGGCGCTTGCCATGTCGTGCAGGCGCCTGAATGTTTGCCGCTGGGGGTGCTGGTGACGGAGGAGCCGTGCATGCACCCTGGTCCTGAGAGGCGTGCTGGCGCTGCTGCTGAGCCCTGCCCTGGCCTGTCGGAGTGCCGCTGCCGTTGCAGGCGTCCGCACCGCCGCCCTCCACCTCTGTGATGTCTGCCTTATGACTCGCTATGTATAGCAGAAGCCCCAACACATGCTTGCAGCAGTGCTGATCACGCTCCCAGGACGGGCAATCGCAACGCGTGACAATGAAGTCCTGGTCGGCGCCATCAAAACCAACGCTCACGCGATATGATTCGCCGCGGCTGCCGCCAGCCTCCGCGCTGACTCTGCGCCTGCCCGGGTCAGCGGTTACACCTGTAAGCTTTCCAGCGCCAAATACTTCATCCCTAGCGCGCCGCAAGTAGCCCTCCCACCTGCAACAGTCGAGTGTAAGTGATGAACGGCGTTTTTTCAGGGCCGCTACCTGGGATCACACTCGATGCGCCGAATTGATGGCCTAGGCTGCACGGCTCTTGCACTGCCATCAACCCAGAATGCAGCTTTGCCATGCGCTCTGCCCTGCCGTGATTCCAAGGTGGAACAAGCGACACGACACACGAATGTGTACAGCAGCTGAATCCTCAATTAGGGAAGCGCCCCCTCCCCTGCAGCTGAGCAAGCACTGGGCACGTGCAGTAGATATTTTGTACACTTATTGCGTGAAAACAGGTCCACGCGACGCATCAGCAGCAAGCCGTCATAATCCCCAAGGAGGGTTGGCGGCTGCAGCACAAGGCCTTCAAGGCTGCGTAGAGGAAACAGCTCCCCCTTCAACCTGACGCCCCTGCTTACGCACCTGCTGTCCAAGCGCCTCTGAGCAAGCCACTCTGCATGACCCTCCACCACGTCTGTGACGCTGGTTGGAGGATCCAAGCCCATGTGCACTTCAGCAGCGCACAACGCAGCACGGTCACCCTGGACGCGCTGCTCACTGGTGCTGGCGGTTGCGCAGTTCAGCCGCAGCTACAATTGACGCAAACTTCGGTATCCATGCGACGTGCGGGTGTCACGTGGCTTGGTGCGCGACGTGGCTTGGTTCACGAGCGACAGATCGTTGTCACAGCCTTCGATCGCGTCTAGAAGAGGGAAATCAACGTCATATCATAAGAATACGATGCTGATAGGTGGCATAAAAGCATTGCGTATGGAGCCTTCAGGAACAACTGCCTGCACCCTGAGCAGCACCCATTTCAGTGTCCTAGCAGCATGCTGCATCATCAGCATCGTGCTGTGATGGTGCCGCCGTGTGCCTCAACACCAGAGGCGATGCAGGTTGCAGGTTTCAGGTGGTTCTTTGATCACCAGGCCGCACGGGGCGCGCGACACCGCGAGGAAGCGCTGGCTGTGCTGCTGGGTTGTTGGGCGCGCCCCCGCGCAGGGGGGGGCGACACACAGCTCGCGAACAACGGTGTAGACAGGGGCGCAGGCGCTGGTACCTGACATGTCTCGAAGGGGCATATGCAGGTCCAGCGCCTGCTCACAAAGTCGGGGTTGAGATCCTCTTGAGTGAGCGCATCTACACCCCCTCGGCCTTGTGGCTCATGAGCCACGAGGCATGATCATGGGATGTTTAGGGTGTTAGAGATGGGCCAGGCCGCTTGCGGGCAGCAACGCTACGGTATGCAGGATGATGGTCAAGCCCGGCCCCCTAAAAACTGCAATAAGCTTCAATGCATATACAGTCTTCCCCCGCTACAGCGAACCCCGCAATAGCGAAAACCCTGCCTACAGCGAACGCCGCCGCTACCCCCGATCGCTCGCCACACAGATTCACCCTGCCACAGTGAATATTCACTACGGCTATAGCGAACGCCAAAGA